GGTCTGGAAGATAGTATTCGAGCCAGCATTGAAAGGCGCAATTTTGATAATCAAATCAGCACGAATGGCCACGGTCACTAAGTATGCTTCCCCTGTGAGTTAACGCGGAGCAAACTTGGAGTTTCGACCAGATTACTACCGAACCAGATAAATGAAATAGCGATAACAGTTTTGCCATGAGGGTTACCTTTTCTCGGCGTGCATGCGACACTGTTTTAGCAATAGTTATTGACTTAAGTTGAAATGCTTTCTTCCTCCAAGTGTATATATATATATCAGTGGCGTACCGAGGGGGGGGGGCGGGGGGGGCCCCCCCCCGAGAATGGGTAGCGAAATTTTTGAAAGTTACTTATAAGGGTTATAAAAATGTGCAAATGACTTGTTTATACTTGTAAATAATTAAAATAATTTTTAAAAATTTTTAAAAATTCAGATTAGCCTTGTAAAAAAATTTTTTTTGGGGGCGTGGCTGACGCCACGCCCCCTTTTTCCAGATTTTAGGGGTTGGGGACCCGCAAAAATTTTGAGAAGCACCCCTGAAATTTTTTCGGAGTGCGTGGCGTTAGCCACGCACTTTTATTTGAAAAAAATTTTTGTCGCCCCCCCCCCCCCCGAGCGGAAATCCTGGGTACGCCACTGATATATATGTATGTAGTGACCGCCAAAAAGTTGCGAACAAACCCCTCTCCCTTTTTCATCGCTCTTTTTTAGAGGGAAAACAAGGATGAAAAAATGTAATATTTGCATGAGGTGATAGAGCTCTTCAAGATCTACAATCTACACTTTGAGCTTTTTGAGAAACATGTATTCTATAAATTTTAAGAATCCTTTTATAAGAAATGTCCGAAAATGGCCGCGTCACAATGTCGCGGACAATAATTCTTCGAACGCAAAAATTTTCCTTTGAGTCCTATCTTGGAGCGGAAACACAGGTTATCCGGACGGGTAAGCATACTAATATACAGAGCTCGTCAGGAACTACACATTAGTTATGATTGCTTTCCCAAAAAACGCAAGCTTGAGTTTTATTTTGCTTTTTTCAAAAAATAACTTCTAATTTCCTTTATCAAGCCAAATTTTTTCACACGGAAACCTGTTCAAGACATCCCAGCAGAACCGTCTGGATAAAATAGATGCTCTTTGCCATCCTCTTTGCATCGGACATGTGTTTATGAGTTTCTTTGCTGAAAATGGCCCTTGGCAGTGCTTGCACATGACCCTAACTGCACCTCACCACTGACTTGTACTGCTTTGCAGGCTTGTAACTCGGCTTGCAGTCAATATTTGAGCCTGCAATTAGGCTCATTTGAAAGAACGAGACTTCCCCTATACGACGATATGCAAATGAGTTGAGTTTGAGAAATTTCAGAGATTTGGCGGATGGGGTGGTAAAGGGCAGCTTCAGTTGTAGTCTAAGCACTTTTCAGCTAAAGTTGAAGAAAGCTCCTTTCGCTACCAATTTCATCCTGGAAGTTCAAAACTGTCAATTTTCTTGTAATTGATCCATTTCGAGGCTCTAAGACTGTTCTAGTGTTCATAAGAGCTTTCACCCCAATCACCTCTGAAGCTGCCCTTTACCACCCCATTCGCCAAATCTCTGAAATTTCTCAAACTCAACTCATTTGCATATGGTCGTATAGGGGAAGTCTCGTTCTTTCAAATGAGCCTAATTGCAGGCTCAAATATTGACTGCAGGCCGAGTTACAAGCCTGCAAAGCGGTGCATGTCAATGGTGAGGTGCAGGTGGGGTCATGTGCAAGCACTGCCAAGGGCCATCTTCAGCAAAGAAACTCATCAGCACATATCCGATGCATCGAGGATGGCAAAGAGCATCTATTTTATCCAGACGGCTTTGTTGGAATGTCTTGAACAGGTTTCCGTGTGGAGAAATTTGGCTTGATAAAGGAAATTAGAAGTTATTTTTTGAAAAAAGCAAAATAAAACTCAAGCTTGCGTTTTTTGGGGAAGCAACCATAACCAGTGTGTAGTTCTTGACGAGCTCTGTATAGTAGTATGCTTACCCGTCCGGATAACCTATGTTTCCGCTTAAAGATAGGACTCAAAGGGAAATTTTTGCGTTCGAAGAATTATTGTCCGCGACATTGTGACGTGGCCATTTTCGGACATTTCTTAGAAAAGGATTCTTAAAATTTATAGAATACATGTTTCTCAAAAAGCTCAAAGTGTAGATTGTAGATCTTGAAGAGCTCTATCACCTCATGCAAATATTACATTTTTTCATCCTTGTTTTCCCTTTGAAGAAGAGCGATGAAAAAGGGAGGGAGGCTTGTCCGCAACTTTTTGGCGGTCACTATATATATATATATATATATATATATATATATATATACAGACCACAGAATGTGCATTTCCGTGAATGGCGCGCCTCCGCCAGTCCCGAAATTCCGCGAACTTCCCAACATTCTGCGACATTCCAAGAAATGTGCGGAATTACGTGAACCACGCAAAACGCAGCGCCTAACTTCCTTTGAAATGATTATATTATGAATCTGAAAAAAGCGTTCTTAACTCGTCCAAAAGATATTTTCTGATACACACTATGTCCTCGACATTCCGTTTCCAGTTTCTGATTTCCAGTTTCAAATTATTTTGCGGACATGGTTTCGCAAGGATGTAACGCAGCTTACATCAGATTATCGGCGCTAGATATCAGCCGGAGCCTCTTTCCAAAAAAGATAGAGCTTGTGTAAAAAAAACAAAAACAAAAAACGTGTTAACCCAAATTCTACTGGCCGTAAACCCTAAAACATGAAGCTATCCAGCTAGGCGGATGTGTAATCAGTGGGTCAGATGACCTCTACAAGTTTTCCAAGAAGTTTGGTTTGATTTTTTTCCGCTTTACGCTCTGAAGCTCGCGTATGGCTTCTGGTGAAAATGTTGATGATATCGAATCGAAAGTAAATCGCTCAGGAGGTTTTTGGATACGCTGTCTACGAAAATCGTAGTCTTTGCAGAGTCTAGCACAGGTCTGCTAGCACAGATATGGTAGGGAGCTGTAGCTAAGCGCGGAAGTTCGTAAATTCGCCTGCGCTTTTGGCGTATCTATTGAAAAACTTGCCTGTATATCTATGGGTTGAAGTGACTAGGAACCGTGCTGTGGAGCGGATGGTGCATGTCTCAAGTTCTACTCTATAAAAGTCGCCAAGTCACGAGCTTACGAAATCACTCCTCATGAATATTGTCCAAATCCAAGGATAGCATACTTCGTGGAGTCCTTGTGGGCGGTTCATAACATTCACATCACTCAAAGGATCCTACCGTAATGGATATGATGGTTTAATAGATCGGAGCTCCAGCCATAACAATTTCACATCATTTGCACACCAATTTTGGTGTTCTACCTTTCATCTTCGTTGTAAACAACCCTTCCTTAAACAGGAGCCCTTTAAATTTTCGCGCTTGCATGGAAAGCATGTTGGGGCGTTAAATCGTTGTTGCAGCCAAAAAAATCGGTAAGGCAGTGTTGAGCGCTTGCGACTTCTACAGAAGACAAAGAAGTGAAATAAAAGAGTGACCGGGGGGGGGATAGAAATTGGGATTAACTATGCGCATGTGACAATAGGGGGGGGGGTAAGTCTTGCTTTTCAGAAGAGGGCTGCAAAATTTATTGGGTTAGGAAGTGAGGTTGGAGAATTCTCAAAGTTTCCTCATCGGTTGAATTTGAATGAAAATATAGCTGTAGTTTGCCATGCATGATTGGAGGTCTCTTCGAAATCTTCTAACCACTTCCAAGACTCTGATTTTGCACGAAGCGATTAGCGATTTTTTCATAAACACCATACTAAGAAGGAATGGTTAGAGGTCAAAGTGGCCAATCCAAACAAGCTGCAAACCTTTCAATGCAGCATAAAACGCTGATTTCAAATCTGTCTTCTATATGTGCAGAGCGTTTTTGTAGGAGAAGTTATGTGCAGTTTCATGCGAAACACAAAAATTGCGAAATTAGGCACAATTGCTCTTTTAGCTCACCTCTAGATATGGGCCAAACGAAGTGAACTACTTGCATGTTTTGGTTCAACACTGAGCCGAGAATGGCTTTGTACAGCCAAGTTTGCCGTTTACACGCACAATCTTTCAGCAGAATAATGGCCTTCAACGGCTTATAATATCATCCACAAAAGTGCTCTGCAGGTAAGGAAGACAGACGCAGAGTAAGCTTATGCTGCATTTAATGGTATTCAGTTTGCTTGATTTGGCCACTTCGATTTCTGACCATTCCCTTGTAAGCTAGGCTGATACCGTATATCCAGGCTCTGCTCCGGACCTTTCAAAAACGATATCCCCTTTTGCTTTTTACACCCAAATCCAGCCGGGCCTCGCAACCCACCTGTGCCAAGCACTGTTGCTGGTTGCGTCACATCCTTGCAAAGACGTTTGCAGAACAATTTCAGAAAACTGAAAAGGGAATAACGAGGACATGTTTTGCATCAAAAATTCGCCTTGAATGAGCTGAACATGTTCTTTTCGGATTCAGAATATGTTGAATACGAAGAAAGGTATAGTGCTGTTTATTTCGCGGGCTTACAGGGCTCCTAAATTGCAGAGTCGTTTGCACCAGCGGTCGCGCGACCGCGTCGCGCCCGGGCATTTTGCCAGCGCCGGCGCCATCGATCAAAGCGGCGCCATTGATGCCCGGGCGCGACGCGGTCGCGCGACCGCTGGTGCAAACGACTCTGCAATTTAGGAGCCCTGTACACACCTGCGTACGAGATGTTTCAACGGTCCACAGACTCAAACTATAACAGCGTTAGTTGGGTGAATTGGTTAGAATGAAGATAGGAGCGACATTTTTGTAAACACGTAGATTTTCGCCACTAAATTCACTGACCACGCATAACTTCACTACAAATTCTTATCGTCCCTTATTCTTGCTCTACTTTCGATTTACAGCAACTTTTGATAACTTTTTGTTTTTAGAAACTATTGCATTACAGTTCCGTAAACACCTTTATGCATAGTCTATAACCGCAAACCATGACGTTGCATAATTATAATACATACGATTATGGCGCATCAAAACCTTTGTGCAGCGATTTTACATTGAGCTAAATAATATGAAATTGCTTGTTCCTCCTTTTGAAGTAGATGCATGCGCTCGTAACTGAACTCCATCGATGCCAAGGAACAAGCCACATCTGTAAATGGGAATTTTTTGCTTATTAGATTTCAGGACAATTGCTTTCATGCAGTAGTGTTGCAACATAAGTCGTCCCATAAGACTTTTTCATATCTGACTTTTCAACGACATAAGTCAGTCTTATACTTCCTAATAAGACGCGGGCACCATTTGACAGATCAAAACAAGCTCTACAAGATGGCATTTAAAAGTTCGCATCAAGTTCAATCCGCATCAAGTTTCAAGCCAAGATTAGAAAAAATTTTCGAAAAAACGAAATTGGTCGTATCTTAGTTCAAAACAGTTTTGTTTCCTACTCGCTCACGCATATATTCTCCATCAGATGTTTATACATACAGTTGCTGCATGTTTTGATGGCTAGAAATCAAGAAAAAAATAATGAACTGAATTTTCAAACTTTGCCTGTAGCGGTTCTGTGTTCCTCGCAAATAAGTGCTGCCACAAAATTGTAAGCTTGTAAGTGTCCTACTGTGAAATATCTGAGGGTGAGTATGAAAAAACGTATGGAACAACCTGATAGTTTCTAGAAGCAGTTCGTGCACTTAGGATTGGCTGTATGAACAAATTGATTCAACTATCATAAGCTAACATCTGCATTTCAAACGAAAACAGATGAACCTGACATGGAGGCAAAATAGATGCTTTACAAGATTCTAAGGCTCGCATTTTAGTGGCGCTCATTAACTTCCAGCGTTGAGGCTGTAATTAGGACATCGTGACCACGCTTGTTTTTGACGTTTTCTAAAAGCTCCAAGATTTTTTGAAGGCCTCCTGAATCCGAGGTGGTCAGCATGCGTGTCGGCGGAGTCAATGACATGCCACATTCAACTAGTCTGAGACCCATAGAGTTTCGCGCACGTTCCCTAAACGTATATGAACTGTTTTAGCGGGTAGAGTTCAAGTTCAATTTGAACTTGATCGCGACAAGACAACTGTAACAATATCACTTCATGCCGATCTTTTTGCATTTCGGTTGTGATAGTTTTCCAACACGTCTAATCGTGACTAACCTATTACAAGAAAATCAGCATGCAATGAACTCGTAACTGCCGAGGCCTTACGCTACCAAGTAATGGTGAAGCTTTTTGAGATAGGTCACAACAAACTTGTCAAAGCTAGTTGAGATAGGTCACAAGTATAAATTTGTTCACTCGCTAAAGCTTTTTTGGAGCGGTTAGGCTGCGTTCATACTGATTCCCATGTTCTGGAACTGTTCCCGCACAGTTCTCGCACTGTGCTGAAACTGTGTGGGAACTGTGCGGGAACAGTTCCAGAACTGTGCTGCATGCGCTGCAGCCGCCCCGCACCGTTTTGAACGGCGGGAGTTGGAGAATTTTGACCATTCTCAACGGTTTTTCTTCCAGATTTCGCTCATTTTGGCCTTAATCCTCCACCCCGCTTCCCTTTTTGAACAGCAGCATTGCGAACTCGAAGCGGGGTTGAAGAATGAGCACTTTTCTGCGCCGTGTATTCGGAAAGATGGGCTATCGTGCGATTGTTCATTCTGTCTTCTTGTTTTTTGCTCAAAACTACTTCATTTGTTCCAGGAAGCGGCTGCCCAGTTTCCATAGCCATCTGCCACAAATTAGGGAGTAGGAGAAATCCTGAAATTGCATGAGTTGGGACTTGTCTCTTGTTTTTCATGATTTTGGGCGTTCTTAGCCTTGTTCGTTTTTCCATGTCGTTGCTTCTCCGTTCTTTCTTCTACCCCGCTTCTCCTAGTGATGAGAAAAGCTGTGAATTTGAAGCGGGGTTGAGGATTGAACGCTGTTCTGCTCCATGTATCCGGGAATATGGGCCTTCGTGCGCTCGTCCATTCTCTCATCGCTATTTTTGTTCAGACCTATTCATGTGTAATAACAAGTCGCTGCGTAATCTCGCATCTGTATTGAAATTGAAATAGACAAGTCCCTAGAACACATGAAGTAGGTCTGAACAAAAATAGCGATGAGAGAATGGACGAGCGCACGAAGGCCCATATTCCCGGATACATGGAGCAGAACAGCGTTCAATCCTCAACCCCGCTTCAAATTCACAGCTTTTCTCATCACTAGGAGAAGCGGGGTAGAAGAAAGAACGGAGAAGCAACGACATGGAAAAACGAACAAAGCTAAGAACGCCCAAAATCATGAAAAACAAGAGACAAGTCCCAACTCATGCAATTTCAGGATTTCTCTTACTCCCTAATTTGTGGCAGATGGCTATGGAAACTGAGCAGCCGCTTCCTGAAACAAATGAAGTAGTTTTGAGCAAAAAACAAGAAGACAGAATGAACAATCGCACGATAGCCCAACTTTCCGAATACACGGCGCAGAAAAGCGCTCATTCTTCAACCCCGCTTCGAGTTCGCAGTGCTGCTGTTCAAAAAGGGAAGCGGGGTGGAGGATTAAGGCCAAAATGAGCGAAATCTGGAAGAAAAACCGTTGAGAACGGTCAAAATTCTCCAACTCCCGCCGTTCAAAACGGTGCGGGGCGGCTGCAGCGCATGCAGCACAGTTCTGGAACTGTTCCCGCACAGTTCCCGCACAGTTCCCGCACAGTTCCCGCACAGTTTCAGCACAGTGCGAGAACTGTGCGGGAAGTTCCAGAACATGGGAATCAGTATGAACGCAGCCTTAGTTCAGGTGATTTGCACCGAAGATCCGACTCAGTTTTGACGACGTTCCCCCCCCCCCCCATTCTAACGCCACGTGACCTGAAAGGTGAGTGTCGGGTAGGTGTTGCGATCCCACCTCAATTATGTAAAAGCAGCGCACGTTTCGAGTTCTGACGGATGGAGTGTGCAAATGATAAAACTCATGTCAGGAAAAAACCTCGTAAGTTGCTCATGAGTAGCTTATGATACACGTCATTTCACGTAACGTGAGTGTACAAGAACACGCATGCGCAATTTTGGGAGCACAAGATAGAAAGGATCTATGAACAGCGGCTTGCTGCCAGGAAGATAAAAACAAGTTCATTTTTGCAGTTTTTTCCAGTTTTTTGAGCTGCATAAAAAACTTATTTAATCACCGCATTTTTTTGTGTTCCAAAAAATTTGATTCTCCGTGATCATGTCCTGCTGAAATCTTAGACAATCAAAGGCTCTCAGCCGGCAGCCACAAAGCCACCGCCCAAATCCAAAAAGCGCCGTGTCCTTACCGCCGCCACTTTCGCTCTCCGCTGTAAACCTTATAGCAGTCCGCCCGCAGCCAGCTTTAGCGTCCCGCTCAGTGCCATTTTGTAGCCCGCTCGCTTCTACGGTTCTCAGCGGGAAGCGACAGTGAGGCGATAAGGCTGACAGGAATAGGTTTGTGAGGAGTTTGATTGTTCCAAATTAAGATTCGTACAGATATATAAATTTACTAAGGTTTTGTTACATCGTCATACACTGCGAAGACAAACATTCACTACCTAATCATATGAAGTCTATCTTTTGCCTTTTATTACATTTCCATATGCTTTTCCAAAGTCATTTGTGAGCGATTTTCTCACTTCTTACATCATCCTAGATCAAGTTATGAGTCATGTAATCGGTGTCAATTCGCTTCGGTGTTTACCGCGCCGTATTGGATTGGTGCGCACGTTTTGAACCGCCCATGACCGACGGCGAGGCGTTCACACCTGGCGCTTCGCAGTGTCATCAGCTAATTTTGCAGCCCATCAGATCGTTTTTGACTAATTATTTATTATTTTCGCTTTTCTTTTCACAATTTCTGCTGGAAAAGTGATCGGCCGACCCTAATCAGATGTATATGCCATTTTTGCAGTAACACTTAAAGGAGTAAATTTTCACTGCTGGTCTGTTTTCGAACTTCTTGTAAAAACTAAAGCCACTTCGACTTTTGCTGATTATCGAGTAAAGATACATTTTACCTTCAACCAAACGACATCGGCTGCTGACGCCTGGCAAAGAAAAAGAGCAAGAGAAACAGTCAGAATCAGTCGCAGCAAAATACTGGGTAAAAAAGAATTCACTTTTCTAAGTGTTATTGCAAAAACGGCATACACATCTGTCTGATTAGGGCCGGCCCATCACTTTTCCAGCGGAAATCCTGACAAGAAATGCGAAGATAGAAGAACTAACCAAAAAACGATCTCATGGGCCGCGAAATCAGCCGATGATGATTGGCAAAGCGCCAGGTGTGAACGCCCGCCTTGAGTGATGAACACCAAAGCAAATTGATACCGATGGTACATGACTCATGACTTAATCTAGGCTGATGTACAATGTGAGAAAATCGCTTACAAAGGACTTTGAGAAAGCATACGGAAATGCAATGAAAGGCAACAGATTGACTTCAAATATGACCAGGTAGTAGCTGTTTGTCTTCGCAGTGTATGACGATGTAAGAAAACCTCAGTGAATTTATATACCTATATGAATCTTGATTCAGAACAACCAAACTCCTCATGAAACCTACTTCTGTCAGCTAAAAGATCATTGGTTATATTTATCACACTGGTACTTGATAGTTCATGATCCACTTCCCTCAAAGTTGAGAGTGTGTTCAAGCACTTGGAACAATTATAAAGGTTAAGGAAAAATTGGTTATTATAAAAGCTGTGCAAAGTTACTGTTGAGGTCAGATGCCGGATCCAGCAGTTTGAATGCACTTTCATGGGTTTTCATTGAGCTTTTTATAGACAACAATTTTGTAACTTAAAATAGAAGTAACCGGGTTCGCTGTGCCATACATTCGCGGTGTGAAAGGTGATCCTCTACTTATTGTCTTTTTAGCATAAGAGAGAGATGCATGATAGTTGTAGCGACTGGATATGCAAGGAGATACGAGACAAAGTTTAAGGCTGGATAAGAATGATAATGAGATAATAAGAAACAAAAGAGGGCAATTGCAGCTTAGGGAGACAGCTAAAGAAAGTAATGCGCGAGTAACATTGTAATATATTAAAAACGAAGATGAAGCAACAATGAAACCAAAAGTGACGCAAGTTTAAACAGCCGATCTCACTTGCCTGCACATCTAACTTTTTAGTGCGATCAACAGGGTCTCGAGA